CCTTACACTAATTACAGTTTGATTATGAACAGTATTTAATTTTTTGGCTGCATTTGTAGCATTCTCATCACTTAAAAATAAAAAGTATAAAACATGTCTCTTATATTCATCTGTTACTTCCATTTTAACGAAAATAAATAACTGAAATGTTCCCAATTCTGAACAGTATTATATGAATGAGATCCAATTTAACACTTCAGTGTAAAAAGTATCACATTAGACTGGCATTTTTAATAGCAAAACAAGATTTTTCTCAACGTCATAAAATACGCACGAACTTATGGACTGACCTGATATATATTAGTTACATTAGTCATTTCTAATTTTTTTAATGGATGCTAATTGATAAAATAATATATTTTAATATCATAATGTAAATTTCCAAATAAACTTCTTTGTAAATTGATTTTTATATAAAATTCAGTTGAAATGTTTTTGAAAAAAAAAAATATGACTGATTTTCCTGAATATTTAAATTTAAGCTCTGATTCATACTATTAATATTTTGACGTAATTAATAATCCATTTATTAATGTGGATATAATTTTTGAATCGTAAACAAATTTCAGTTCGAATGTAAGTGAATTAAGCGTGATTCGAATAAGAAGTTAAATAAAAGATTTGTTATCTAATGAAGCAAGTAACAACATTTAGAAATTTTGATAGTTTCTGTAATCACTCGGACAAATTTAACCAATCAATTTTATCTAGATTACTATTGAATATTAGTTTCAGTTTCATTTCTGCTTCAGTATTTTTTTCAAAAATTTATAATGCATATAAAATTGTTTTCATATTTGTCGTTATTTAATATTAATATTAGCTCTAATATATACAATGTATGTTGTTATGATCGATCTTCAATTGCGTATTACACAGAAATCTTTGGAAATTTAAGAATAGTTTGAGTGTTATTTACAATTGTATAATCGTAATGTAAGAAAACTAAAATCCCGTGAAAATTTCAAGCATCCATTTTAATGTTTTCTTGTTATTCATCCAACACACAAGGTCAGTGTGTCAGATAAATCGATAAAATATATTATACTATACAGCTTTTTTGTATTAAAAATAAAGTTTGAAAGGTTTTGTCTGCGACGATTATTTTCGTAATATACAGTAAGTGTGTATTCGATTGTGTTGATGGTGTATCGTTATATAACTCCGTTATATTTCGGTGATATGACTAATGATTCGTTCTTAGCATGTAAATATTTGTAGTTACAGCAGCCAATGAAACTTGATAGATCTGTAGTAATTTTCAAAACAAACGTTTAAAAACATTGAATTTAATTCGGTGTTTTTATTAATAATATTATTTAGTCACTGGTATAAAATAGTATTTAATAGAATTGGCATTTTACATTTATTTATAAATATTAATATTAATTTATATTTAGAATTGCTTCTTATGTGTGTATCTGTATCAGAAATGATTGCAATTAAGGTTTCTAGCATCAGTTAATTAAGAAGAATCCTGCGTCAGATTTTCTATTAATGTACAGTACTTCTAATAATAATTAAGTGATAAAATTTGACGATTACAAAATCTGTAATGGTTCATTTCTTTATTAATCTGTAAGAAAGATAGATGGATTGAGATTATTTTTATTAAAAAAAAGCACTAAAACTTAATACAGAAACTCTGAATCTTGAATAAATAATAATAATAATTTATCGTTCATTAAGATGAAAAATAGGATTTCATGTTCGCATTTTCATTTATCAAATAACGTGTCGAGTGTTATTTTATAGTTATATCATGCTAAAGTGATATTCGTGTAAGAGTTCGTTATAAAGTCTGATTGCGATTTATGGGAGGGCTTTTATTCTGGACCGCGCCCAAAAAACAGAGGTTTTTGCAGATTAAAATCAGTTATCGCATAGAAATTTTGGGGATGGTATTAAAAAGTTTTTATGTAAATATATTAAATATAAAGTTAACTTTGTAACAAAAATTTATGTAAGAAAAACATTATTTTTTACAATTCAACTGAAGTTAACTGTAAACATATCCTGTAGTAAAAGAATGCACGGTATAAATATCACTCATTGCTATTCTGTTGGTTTAGTGCTCAATTTTCTAAACGTTTTAAGCTCACCCTCATATTCTACTCGAACATATATGACATTATTTTAATTTTTACGCGTATAAAAAATCTTTATTTATCATCATCACTTGTATTAGGAGATTGCATTACTTCAAAAAGTATGTAAAATAAAATCGTATAAATTACGACAGGAACAATGTATGTGATGTCATCGTCGTTAAAGCTGTTGTTAAAGGAAAAACCTTCAAGCTGAATAATGATTAAATGTCATGAATTTTAGTTTCTGCATCGCTTGCTACTTCATTGTATTTTATGTATATAACTTCACTTTAAAAAAGTAGATATTTTACTGTTAGATATAATTAACGAAATGAATTTTTAATTAAGTAGATTATTCGAAAATCAGTCTTGGACTACCTTAATTTAAAAGCATATACGTATTTCTGTCAATTCAATAAAATATTATATATATAACTTAAAATAGTAATGGTTTATCTCTTCCTCTTCCTTTTATGTGTAATTTTATCGTTGTAATTGTATATTATATCGATTTTACTTGCTGTAATCGAATACTTTGAAGCGCGTTAATGTTCTATAAATCTTTATTTACAAAAAAAAATTGTTTACAGTATGTAAAATTCATAAAAATCAGGAAATATTAAATTTAGTGTATACGATCTTTTCAATAGTTGTATCGATTTATTTATTCAATTTTAATTATTTATTTTAATTCGGTCTGTTAAATTCGCTATTTTGTAGCCATGTATTTAGAATGTAAAACAATTTAACGGTATAAAACAAACGTCCTTAATAAATACAATTTGTTAAAAGATTTGCTAGATATTTATTTTGAAAGTATATTTGATAATATTGTAGTTTTAGTAAGTTATTTATTATTATTATTAGGACAATCACATTGTCTTCGTTTATAAATTTTTCCCAAGAGGTAAATATTTTGGAATTAGGAATTTTGATGGCATATCAAAACCTATATCGCACGCTCCAAAAAAGAAGAAAAAATGAATTGGTCAACACGTAAATACATTATTCCCTCATATTCCCTTACCTAGTTTAATATCTAATTTCGCTTTTGTTAATATTCTGTCATCCGGAAAATTGCGTTAATAATGTTGAGATTTTTAAGGAAATCGTAGCTGACGTAATCGTAAAAATTTCGTTTTGAAACGGAAAAATTATCGAGATCAACTGTGGCTTGTATGTAGAATATTCGATCAGAAAATGTCTTCATTAACATGTCGATATATCGACGTCTAAAATACGGTAATCAGTGAAAAATCGATCAAACTAAAGGTAACATTTTGCAATTTAAGGGTATATTTAGCTCTAGTAGGGATAGGATTTAAAAAAAAAAAAAGTATTGATAAAATGAAAAAATATAAATTATCGAAAGGCTGTTAGGTGTACAAAAAGGGAAAAAATCGATCAGGCGAATTCCTATCTTGTAAGTCATTTTCTGTTACCGTTGATGATTTTATCACACTTAGAATTTGGCGCTATGTTAAGAAAAATTCCCGTAATATGTGAATTTTACCGTATTTTCAGTTATTTCGGTAAGTGTTTTTTCTTTCCCATCATAGATATTTATTATTCGAAAAAAATATCACGAAAGCAGATATTTTTTAACTAGTTAAAAGTGTTTATTGCATGTTTTATAATTGTTTCTCTCAAAAAATTATATATTAATTTAAAACTATTTATACCTTTAAAAAATCGCCTATTTTCGGTTCCACGTGTCGATAATTTATAAAAATTTCAGAAACATATTTATGTAAATTATTTAATTCGTATCGACCGCATTTTATTAATATAAAGTATATTAACATTGTAATATATTTTTTAATCAGCTTTTATGTTAAAAGTGTTGATTATATTAAATAAGTTTTATAAATCATTAAAAGTGGTGATAAATAATAATAATAATAATAATGACATTTTAGAGCCACCTGTTCAATTGCAATAACTTTTTTGAAGTAATAAAGTATAAATGTCACTGAACTATTTTACTGGCCACAAAATAAATATTTGATTAGCTGATGAAAAATAAAACTGTTGCTTCCAGTAAATATTTCCAAAAAATATTTTATATAATAAAATATTTGATTACTTGAAATTTTATAAAAATTATGAATAATATAAATGATTCATTATTAATAATTTCATGTTATAAGCTTAAAATTCATTAGTATTAATATTATTTGATCAATTACTTGTTAATAAGAACAGTCTAAACATAATTAAGGTAAGTTAAGATGAAATTTCTTCTTTCTCTTTAAATCTCACTATGAGTTTTCATTTATAATATATATTAAATTTATTTGTTTTTATATAAATTATGCTATTATTAGAATAAAACTTTTACATTTTAAACATAAAAAAGAAAAATTAGTCTTCTGGGATTAGGAAATTTCTCTTTTATCCCATTTTGTCTTTTAGAAAGAGATTTTTATATATATTACAAAATATTTATTGTATTTATAAAATAAAATTTAGAATAATTTTTAAACAATAATATAATAATTAATTATTCTATTGTATATTTCTAATTAAAAATTAGCTGAAGGTTTTTTGTTTATCCAGGTTTAAACTTAAAAGAAAAACTTACATGATGAAATAATCTCCCTTATTAAACTACTTAGTATCTTTTTAAATTATTACCCTTAACGAATGTCATTTTAGAGACAATTTCCCTTCATTAACTACAACCTAATTTCAGCAGATCAGCAATTGACTGACACCATAGGCTCGGGAAAGGTCAGCGATGAACCTCTCTACATGCTGTATGACGATTCCCATAAGCATCAGCAACTGTCTTCTAGAGGTTGGTGGTGTGGTGCATCTTTCTTTCTGCTTCCTTCTTTATTTTATTAGCTACTGGTGTACTTTTAAGAAAAATTTGAATTAATAATTACTAATAAGTAACATTCCACTGTTAATAATTTCCTTCCTGCAAATACTAATTATTTCTAACTAATTTTCAGTTCTGTTTTTCTTAGTTTCCTCCTAAACATTTTTTCTCTTAACCCTTAAACAAAATAACATGAAATAAAACCATTACTAAAACAAAATATAACACTCAGGATTTTTTTTTAATTGGAAAAGATCTTTATTCCTTAAATGGCATGATTATACTCTTAATATAAATTTTATTTTTATCAATATATTTAATTTATATTATTGATTTTATTTTTTTAGTTAATCCAGTTTTAAAAATTGATGGAAAAATTAAAATTTTCATCACTTTTTTTTTTTTTTTTTTTTTATAAAACATAATATGAATTATCATTTTACAGGTCTGAATTTCAGTACACGATAAGGTGTACAGTTGATTTTGATCTCCCGTGTGTGTGTTTTTACATTATCTTAAAATAAATATGCTGTCTTTCAATATAAATTCTCAAGATTAATTTTATTAACCAATTAAATTATCAGTGAACAGTCCCAAGAAAAATATTTAAACTTCTTCTTGATGGAATATTAATAAACTGTATATTGTTGTTGAAGGTTAAACTTAGTATGTCAACTGATTGTTTTTCATTCATCTGATTCAACATGCAGCTGTTAAAATAGCTAAAATAAAAACATAAAATTGATTGCCTCTATCTATTCCTTTATCATATGTAGCTACATTTTTAAAATGTTTTCATGACAGACAGCTAAATTTTAAAATTATATAAAATAATTAGTAATATTTTCAAGTTTAAAAATGAAATAATTTTTAATAATAAATTAATTATTTTGTCATACAGAATTTTATTTAGGAGTATATACAGTTATTTAGATACAGTAAATAACTGTATCTAAACTGTAACTACACTTGATAAAACAAACAACATTGTTTAATTTTATGAAAATTAAAATAAGTCAAAATTTAATTAAATTAGTTTTATTTTTTCTTTTTAATTTTATTGAAAATATAACTTTTTCCATCAATAGATAAAATAAAAAGTGAAAAATATTAATATAATTTTTAATTAATTTATATTTGCATTATAAGATTAACAAATGGTAAACTATTGTGAATTAATATGCATTCATATTAAAGTTTTATAAATATTTAAGTTTTTTTATAATATAGATTTTTTTCAACACTTTTTTGATATTTTCTTATTGCTCTGTACATGATTATTTTAATTAAATGCAATTTTGTATAAAGAATTTACAAGAAAAAACAATATTTAGAATTAGTTAAAATTATTTACCATGGAAATTGTGTACAAATAGATTTTTTATACTAAATATAGAGACTAGTTTAATTTTATTACAAAATTACATCCTGGTTTCTTCATGTAAAAATATAATTAAAAATTGGAAATTTTAAAAATTATAAGGATAGAAAGCAACAGTTTGCTTATCTTATTACTATATTTTTGTAAAATTGGAATAGAATTTAATGAAAATATAATTTTAATATTGCATATAATATGAGAAATAATAATATAAATTTAATAAATGCTAACTAAATAAAATTTCAGAATTTCTTTTTAAGAAAGAATGAGAAAAAAAGTAAAATTTATTTTCACTGATGATAGGAGTATGAAATTTAAAACTAAAATAAAATTAATACTGTTGTTACAGTTTTTTATTTATATTTTAAATTATCAATATTACAAATGTGAGAAAAATAGCTATTAAATAATTACTATTGTAAAATAATCTGAAAATATAGGAGTAAATATGATGAAACTCAAGTAATTTGAGATAGAAGACATGTACTCAGTGTCATATTTCTCAAGTCACTTGGGACAATTTTAAAGTGATATATTAAACATGTATGTGATTAAACAAATTAAAGGAATACACTGTACTGTAAGTTTATATTTTTAAAATTTTTAAGATTTAACTTAATGAATATTTTATTTCTTTTCAGGATTTTTATTTATTTATTTTTAAGTTAAAATGCTTTAAACTTGTGAAAATGGCATCATTCTTTAAAAATATACAATATATATCATCATTACTATTGTGAATGTGCTCAATTTATTTGAAGGCATTATTCTTTTTTAAGTAACTTTTTTTTATAAATGAACATAAATATGATCTGTTTGTAGTAACTAATTCTTTTCTTTTCTTTACTTTTTATTTTTAAGATAGAAATGTTTTTTTATTTTTTTTAGATTGAATTCTTTAAACTGTTTTATTTTTCATTTAAGTTTGATATCAGCTGAAACAAAAAAAATTAATGACTTTTAATAATAATTTATTACATATCACACATATCACTTTTATAAATTCAAAGCAGTTTAAATTTTTAATTATTTTGTCTGTCTTTATATGTTAAATGTGAATATTTATGTGGATAAGATGCAATTGTGGGTTGTATCATGAAATTAGTTGTCACAATAGTATACATAAATATCATTTTCTGTAATTATTTTTAATGCCTGTTGTATGTTTTTGTTCTCAGATGTATTAATATTGTTGGTCTACTGTTCTGTGTGAAAGTTTGATTTTTATAGATTATAATTAAGATTTATTTTAGTTAATTTTAAAAATTTAACCATAAAAATTAATTAAAATATAAAAAAATATGTATATTGAAGACACAATATTGTCTTTATCTTCCATTGTTTACAATCACCAGTGATAATCCAAAAATAATTTATACTTTAATGTAAAAATCATTGACCAGTTTCAACATAAAATTAGAGTATTTTTTGGAGAAATTGTTTTACTTCTGTTCTTGTTTTTTTTTTTTAAAGTAAATTAAATATCCTTAATTTTTGGAAGAAATTATTTCAAATCATAAATTTGTTGTTTTTTAGGATTATAAATTTAATTTGAAAAATTATTATTTATTATTGATTTACTTTTCTTCTATAGTTATAAAAATCATACTGATGAATCTATTATTGAAGTTTTCAAAAGCTAAAAATATATGAAATAATTTATTTTAATTTTAAAAATACTTTATATGTTAATTTTGATATAATTTATAAATTATAAATATCAAATTATTAGTTATTTTTATATTTCTTCAGAAAAACAAAAATGTTAACATTCTCATCAAGTTCAGTATAGAATTTTGTATAACCCTCTTACATGTGTAATACATATAGAAAGTATTAAAGACTATGTACAATATGTGTTTGCATTTCAGTTAGTCTAAATCCAGACACTTTATTTTTTGAAAGTTTTTTCTTGTTTTGTAATGAAATTATTCTCATTATCAATATTTATAATTTAAAAATAATAAACAATTTTATAAAATTCAGTAACTTAAGAAAATAGTGTTATAACTATTAATTCCTTTTAATTAGACTCTGTGTGCCAGAGTAGTCCAGAAGATAATATTTATGAAGAGGTTGATCTACAGAATTTAGCCAAAGCTGAAAATGATAATACTAATTGGCTTGGATCAGGATTGTCTGGGAACCAATTCATTAGTTCAGGCAGTGAAGAAGAAGAAACAGGAGCAGCAAAACTGGCTGCACGTATTATTGGAAAACGAAAAAAAAGTAAAAAAGGAAAAGAAATGGAGGTAATTATCTGTTTAGAATAAAAATATTCTTGTTGCTATTCTCCTTATAAATCCTACCATACATAATACAGTCAAACCCTATTATTATGTTACCAGTTCATGCAAATTCATGTTAATGTGAAATAGTTTTGATGTCACATGGATGAGGATAGGCATTTTAATGTTAACGACTTTGGTTAATATGAAATATCATTTAATATGTAATATGAAGCAAGTTGTTGTCCCATTAATTCAATAACAATTATATTATGTCATTTAATATATTTCCTAAAGTCACATACCCAAGCCAAACTGGCAACACACGAGCCACATCGTGTCCAGGGGTATGCTTTTTGACTTTAATATTAGTCACAATGTTGTCATCATTGACAATGCAGTATTTGCTACACTAATAATCTTCATTTACATTTGAAAATAACACTTTCTCTAATAATTGACGTTTCATACTTTGTAATAATGCTGAACAATTAGTTAATATGCACATTGGCAACTAGAAGTTAATAGGAACAGAAGATTTTCAGTTAAAAATTTGTAGTTTTTCAAAATAGTTCTTACTTTTAATTGTTAATGTAATACTTTCAATCTATTATTAATAATGGAAGTAACAAGACAACTGAATTACAATATTAAATACTGTAATTAGTTTGTAATTTTAAAATTAATAACAAACAGTTTCCAATGAAACCCAAGAAAATGAGTTTTTTTTTAATTTGTAAAGTTTTATGCATATTCTGCTCCTAGATTCAATTTGGCAACTAGGACAGCCTGTTATATCCAGCTGCTTTAATCTTTGTTTTACTAATTCTAACCAATGTTGAAAAATGAGCATTGATTTAAGCCACTTTATCTTAAGAAAGTGTGTTTGAAACAAGACAATTTTATTTATTTATTGTGGCATAACATTTGTTCTCAAATTTGATCTGTCGATTTTGAATGACTAACTTCCATTAGGACTGCTTTATCATGGGCAAAATAAAAATAAACAAAATGCATCATTGCACATGCTTAACAGAAAATGAACAAAACACAAGCAAAGCAATCAAAGCCAATTGCTTTGTTCTTGGATTGCCTCTCTATGTTGGTTGGCAAGTAAAAGGATCTTTTCTTTAGTGGCTTACAATTGCAAGGATTACCTCTCTGTGGTGGCAGATGCAAGGATTATCTGACCATGCCTAGCAAATGTAAGGATGCTTCTTTTTTTTCTACCTTTGTCTCAATTCTATCATGACTTTGTTGTATCAGTCATGAGATGCATTAGTTTTTAAATGTATCTAACTTGTAAACAATAAAACACAATGAAATAACTTGGAGAAAATTTGACTTTTGCCATTTGATGGTATGACTGTTGATGTTTTTTGTAAAGTTTACATTACCCTATGAATACAAAGTGCCAATTTTTAAATCCCTTCAACTTTGTGCTGATGGGGTTTGACTGTATTACAGATAATGATGTGAAGAACGATCTGTGTAAAGTAGTCCAATCTCTGTCAATGTCAATACAAATTTTATTTGTTATAATTAGAGTATATTTGTGTTGTAAGAGTAAAATAAATTTAATTTATTATACAGTAGAACCTCGATTATCCGGACTAATTGGGGATGAAGGTAGTCCGGATAAGGAAAAATCCGGATAATCGAAACAAATACTTTAATTTGTCTTTTAATGATAATACAACACGTTTTCTTTTCGATGACATATCGGTAATATTAAAAGTAAATACTGTATTTAAATCGTGATCAAATTTTCAAGAAACAAACGTTCGTATTGAATTTGGACTACTACTGACCAACGCTAACAGACTACCTATTGTTTAAAAGGCCCTCTGGTGGCGCAAGAAGACGGATTTTATAAAATAAAAAGCAGTTGAAACTGCATTTTTATGAATAAAAATTTGACAAACTATTTATCGTTTTATGACGAGTAAAATTTTTTCGTCGCGTTCGCGGCTTTTAAGTAATGCATAAACCTTTGAGGCGCGAAGCCCTTCGGACCGCGAGACATAGGTGGTGGCCTACGTCGCCCATGCCTTACACCGCCCTTGGTTATAGAAATGATGTAATTTGAGTATAAATTATTTATAAATACGTATGTCAAGTTATATTTTTATTACGACGCAAAATATATTTAAGAGTTTACGACCACTGTGCTGGGTGAGACGTTGTTGAAACAAAAAATGTTATGCATTTCATAACGTACATAAACAATGTCGTAATTCGCTAAGTGCAAATCAGCAAATTCGTAAAATTTTTGTTTATTTTGAACAATCCGGATAATCGAAAATCCGGATAATAGAGGTCCGGATAATCGAGGTTCTACTGTAATTTTATAATATAATTTATAGAATTGAAATACATGTAAAAATAAAATTTTTATATAATATTTTAAAATACTCTATAATAAAATATTTTGAGTAAAGCATACAAAAACAGAAATAAATTGTTCTTATTAATGCTATAAACTATTATAAAGATATTTTAGATGAGGAGAAAAACAGCTGATGTTAAGCAAAATATACTTTAATATAAAGTCATAATGCAGAGTTATTTACTTTAGTAAATATTATAATCTATCTTGCTTTAGAAAAAATCAGGATAGATTTTGATATTTGTATAAGTTGGAGTTCAAAAATTATTTATTTTAGCAAAAGAGAATTACATAAATGTATATTATATTTACATACTTATTTAGTTTGTTACATAAATAAGATAATGTTTTAGTTAATGATCAACTTATTTAAAATTATTTAATAAAACAACAAAAAGATACAGATTGCAAATTATAAATATACAATGCTTTTGTCTTTCAAATTAAAAAGCATATATATGCTGTTTAGCTCCAATATTGAATTCTTAGATTTAAAAAAGAAAAAAGAAAAATCATTTCATTGATGATAAGATTTGGATGAAAATTTTTCTGTATGTTCATGTTTTTAGTGAAAAGCTTAACAGTAATTGTAAATATTGGAAAATTTAAATAAGTATTTTAAAACCAAAATTAAAAAGAGAATGAAATGCTACTTAGTTATCTATAAAATCTAATTTATTAAATACAGTAAAGAAAATAAAAACAAAACTTATTTTTTTAAAACATTTCTAATGTTATATCTAAATCAATTTAATACAAATCTTTCATAATACTGAGGAGTTAGTTAGCTGTAATTTTAGAAGGTAATTTGATGATGAGTTTTTAATAAAATTTTGTTTTTAACCTATGTCTTTATTTTTTCTTTAAAAATGTATTACTTTGTTTTTAAGAAATCAAATTCTTATAATAATATTTATTAGGGTATTACTGGAGGTTTTACCAGATGGTTCTCAACAAGGCGAAAAGAATATGAGTTAGAAAAATGTATGAATAGAATTATAAGAAATCAAGGTCTGCTTCAAAATTTTTTAAATTTATAATTAATAGATTTAGCATGTAATATTTAAATTTATATAATAATGTTTAACCTTTCTGTTTTTAAAGGGGAGAAAAATTTCATTTTTAAAATATTTGTAGTAGTATATTCATTTTGGAATTTAGATATTATTATTATTTTTCTGTTTGTTAAAAATTATTTAAAAAGATTTAACATGAAATTTAAAAATTTAATTAAGTTTTGATTTCATGTTAAATCTGTACAGTAGTACCTCATACTTCAAACAATGCTTTAAAGTTCAAACTGTGTCTGCAGTGATAAAATGCACTTGAAAGCATAAATGCAATCTGTATTATCTCTAAGTTGTCTCTTGCTCTTGCATTATGCTTGTATGTTTTCGATGCTTTATTTTGGTATGTTTAGTTATGTACTATATTGTGTGTTATTCATCAATTTTTAACAATTTATTCCTGGAATTTTTCTTTGTCAACAACATTTTGGTACCCTGTACATTTTATATCCTTTAGTTAAAAATTTTGTGAACAGAACTTTTCAAACTATATTTGACATGTTCAAACTTTGGGAGCATCTTCCCCATACACTACAATTTTTTTTCACTGTTTTTATGGCATTACATTCTTTCCAAAACTTATAAAGCATAATATGCTTTCTATCTGAAGACATTACAACTTGATTTTATTCAAACAAAATGTGAAGTAAACAGTTTAAAGTTAGATTTTAAACAAAAGAATAAATTCTCACATTATCTACTATATAGTATGTTAAATTTCAAAACTGTTATAATTAAATCACACATCTATATTAAGATTCAGAAGTCCACAGTGTGCAACCAATAAATGCAATTTTTGTTTTCTTATATAGTATTTACATATTTTATCTATTGCTTTTGTGTTTTAATTTATAATTAGGGCATTTGATTGTGTCATTTTTACCTTAAATTATGTGTATTTGCTGTTTTAAGTTTGTTGAAATTGGTATTGTTTAGGGTCTGGGAATAGATTAATTGACTTTCTGTTATTTCTAATGGGAAAAATTGATTCAGAGTTTGAACAACCTCGTGGAATGAATTAAATTCGAAGTATGAGGCACCACTGTACTTTACACTGACAACCTATATTCTTTATTTGAAACAATAATAAGTTTATACATTGAATTAATTATTTATTATTTATTGTAGAATATACAAATAGTATCAATTAGTTCATTTTAAAAATGCAAAGTAATACAGAAATTTTTAATGAAATAGAAAGACAAAAAGACTACATATTTGAATACAGTGGGTGATCGGTTAACGAACATAATCCGTTCCAAGGCTTTGTTTGCTATCCGAATTGTTCGTTAACCAATTATCGATTTACCATAGGGAATTTAATTAATTCGTTCTGAAGACCCCAAAAATAAAAAATATATACTTTCTTACTACGTTTATTTATATGTAATAATAAAAATACATACACACACAGTCTTGCATTTTTATTAGTCATATTTTTTTTCCGTTTGAAATGGTTAAAGAATCTGTCTAATGTCAATTGATTTTCTCTCTTCTTCAGGATTTTTCGTAAGTAATTAATAGCATTGCAATTGTAGAAATCCCCAAGCCTCAACCTGGTTTAGATGCCATTCTAAGACCGTTGTTCTGACATCTTCCCACTTCTTCAAAGGATCTTTAATAACAGATATCGGCATTAATCCTCTTTTTCAGAAAAAAAACATCTCGCCAAGATTCTTGGTGTTCTTCATTCAAGAGTTCTTGGCGTTCTTCTGTCGTCAGATCCGTTTCAGGTTCTATTATGAACTCTTCGATGTTCTTTATTTCTCAGATGTGATTTTTGTTACTCCTTTAGCCGCTTGAGTCTTCTGGATTATACAGTATTTTCCTTAAATAAGATTGAACTGCGGCCTACTTTAGACCTGTTTACGCCATACTGCCCAGCAACATTAGGTATCTTCTGCCCACTCTCTACCTTTGCTATTATACTCTCACCTTTCAAAAAGAAAAACAGACGCAAAACTTAACGAGTGTCTACCCGACAGTCTCACCTATACATAAAAGAATTATTTTGTCAGAAAAATAAAAGGCTGGAATTACAAGGGAGAGTTTCAAAGTTCGGAGGAATACTATCCGATCGGTATATACCGGCTTGAGCGTCGATGTCAACGCTTCCCACACTCCGAAAAGTTTTGAATTGTTTCCTGAAGACATGGGAAGACCAATCGGTATTCATTATTTTACATCGCTTCTTCTTGTGTTTGTTCTGTGAGGTGTTCGTTAGCCAATCATGTGTTCATTGTCCGAACATAAAAATCTTTCGCGAAAGTGTTCATTATCCGATTTGTTCGTTATCCGATCTGTTCGTTAACCGATCACCCACTGTACTTTATAGTTTGTATAATTGATTTTAATTAACTTGTTATATATTTTCTATCTCACTGGTAATAGCAATTTTTATTTTGTGATAATATGAAATATAGCTTTGTCATCTGTGGTGCTATATGCAATTTTTCTTATTTTTCTCATTGCCACTCTTTTCCCATTAGTCTATGTAGAATTGTTTTTAATTGGCTTTTACTACATTGAAATTGTAGTGGTAACCTGAATTTAGATGCTTCTATCTCATTCTTACAAATAATGACAATGCATTGCATCAGAGTCAACTCCCATCTTTTCTGTTCTATTGTCACTGTCATTCACCCAGAATTTTCATCTAAAAGATGTTAGAATAGGTAGAATACATCTCAAATTTACTGTTACTCATGTTTTATTAATGATCTGTTTATTGTTAAACTAAATGTATTCAACAATGCTCAGTTTATCTTAAGAAAATATCAAACAGGTTCAAAGACTACATGCACTTTTGTTACCTGATGACCATATGCATTGAATACTTTCTTCTGTTGCATTATCAATGGATTTTGTTGTTTTTTAAATCCTCCTTAATAAAATTTGTTTAATTATGCATAGATTAATTTGCATAGATTTGTTTCATCATATTTTACTGAAATATTCAAGGTTAAAAAAATTTTCTCACATGATAAAGAAATTAATTCTTAGTAGAGCAACTTAAGTGCTGTATTTTAACAGGCAGTAATAACATTTCAAAGAAATATTGAAAGATGAAGAAATATTATAAATAAGATTTTTAAAAAATATTTTCAAAATATTTGTGCTTGTGCATTATTATATTTTGTGCCGGAAATGATAATATAGTAATCACTTATATGTCCCTTCACTCAAACATTGACTGATAATATATCAGTCAGTGTTTGAGTGAAAGGATGGTAACCAATTAAGAGGTAATGTCCCATAGCCAATTTTGCACATTATTATTATATCATGTATTCTTACTAATTAAATTGTTTTATTGATATTCTATTTCCAAAATGGAAGTAACTGAATGTGAAGCTAAATGCATTAAGGTGTTTTTGGTGATGGATTGGTCTGTAGGTAATGTCAAGATTTCTTTGCTAAAACAAACTTTTATAGACACTGAAAGAAATTTTTGGAGTTTTGCAAGTTTCTCTATAAAGTATGGTGAAACAGATTTGTAGGAAAGAATTCCTACAAATCTGTATTCACCATACTTTATAATTAAGAAAAGTTCATAGAAAAAGGAAACTAGATTTAACAACACTTTAGTCAAGACATGAATATAAAGTTCTCATACAGAATACATTTATGTGATAAGCAAGCAAACAAACCAACAAAATTTTCCTTTATATAATTAATGCTTCTAGTTCTCTATATATTATTTTATTAGTATATTGTGACTGTAATCTATTAACGGGTGGTCCTCTACTTTACAATTCATTATTTTGAACTTTTGATTTTTATCAATATATATGGCAGTATTTGTCCATTTTTTGCGTCACAGGTTCAGTCTTGAGCAGGAATGTCTTGAGTCAGCTAGCCTTCATGCGTCATGACAGATTTTTGATCATGGAAGAATGTGATCTCAATGAAGAGAGTATATCTATGAAGAGCAATAGGAAAAGACAGCATGTTACAGAACTCTTTATCAAGAAAAGAAAAAGAAGACTACAATTCAATTATCTCTTGTTAAATTTATAAAGAAAAAAGCAAATACTAATCAGTAAAAAAATAAATATTTTGAAAACCCTTTTTGATATTTATTTTACATTGCTCTACTTTCATGTATTTCAACTTTCATACACACTTCAGGAACCAATTAGGTATGAAAGTAGAGGACCACCTATAATAGGACTTTTTATACTGATTTAACTTGCAGATGAAATTAGAGAGATTGAATCAATCACTTGGTTCAAAAGCATAAACTTTTATTACAAATAAAAGTTAATACTAATAAAATTTCCTTTTATCTATAAGATATATATTGTTCTATTGAATCTGTGTTTTGTTATATTTTTAATTAATGTAAATATTAATTGAGCATCCAGTAATAACAAAACAGTCAGATATGTTTGTGTCTGTCTTGAATTTTTAGTGATTAATTTTTTATTTTAATATTTTAGAAGAAGAAAATTATGTTGATGTTAAAGTTCCCAAAAAACAACGACCTCCTCTTTCTCTACCTCCAATGCCACATGATTTAACACCTGAAAAGGTACATAAATTCTTAAAGTACTTATCATATTAGTAAATAAAACAGCATAATTTTATTGTTCTTCTGAAATAATTAATTAAATTAATTGTTTTAAGAAAAACTTTTTTCCTGTTTAACTGATTAGAAAATTGTTTATCTGAAAAATGCAAGGGTTTTTCAAATAAAACATAGACTAGATCAGTGAAACATGTAGTTTCACTGATTGCCATATTAGGATTACAATATATATAACATAATGACAAAGCTGCATTAACTGCTACAGAAAATCACCTCCTGCATTCTGAATATGTCCTAATGCAGTACAGCTTTCTGTATATCCTTCACTTAGAAAGAGGAAGACTACTGGATGAACCATTTAGTTATAGCTGCTCAGACTTTGCTATCAAATTGTTATCTGTGACCTTTCAGAAACATTTTATAGGTTTAAAAACATGTAAGTTACAAGGTGACATATTGGACCTGTAAGGTGGATATGTTGGATGGTAAATTCTACAGCATCTACCTTACAAGCCCTTGTGACTTACTGTACATGTTTTTTAGCCTAAAAAGTTTTTGGAAGGTCACAGATAACAATCTGATAGCAAAGTCTGAGCAAAGATGAACTATAACTGAATAGTTCATCCAGCAGTCTTCCTCTTTCTATGTAGAAGGTATACAGAAACTTGTACTGCATTGGGATGTGTGTCAGAATGCAGGAAATGATTTCCTATAGTAACTGATGCAACTTTGTTGTTATGCTGCCTATATATAAAGCAGAATGACAATGTAATACTGCTATGATGACCAGTGATACAATGCGTGTTATACCTCATATATATGAATAATATAAAAGATGAGATGGTTATATAACATTAAATAAACAATTTTAAAAGTAAATGATGAAAAAGAAATCTCTCAACAATGTTTTTAAAAATAATTTAACTATAAATAAATATTAAGTAGACTTTTTATTAATACAAGGAAAGTGTTATTAGGATATTAGGAAGGTGTTAGGTGCTATCTCGTACAATATGGTACCTAATGCCTCCATCTAGTGCCAAATTCATTTGTAATTTAAAATTATTGATACTTATTCCAAATTTAGCCCAATGATTTACAGCAGTAGTTGGTGTGTTATTGCTTTTCATCGGGTTTTTAGGGATGTTTACTTTTTATTAATATTTTAGAATTATAATTATATCAGTCATTTAGTATAATGTTATTAGCTATATAATAAACTTATTCAGTAAAATGAGATAAAATATTAAGAAGTTAATTCTATTTCTATAAATTTTATATTTTTAAAATAAATTACCTGGTTAAGTATTTTTTAAATATTATATTGATAGATTAATAATAGTGTTTGGTTGATTTTTTTGGTTATATTAATTTTAATCATATGAATTCATTAAAAATTATTCATTAGTAATTTTCTGAATTGTTAAAAAATTGCATTTGTTCAATAGACAAAAACAGTTTTCCCCCCTCTTTCTGCCCTATGAGCATCAAGAAGACTTTGAAGTTCATTGTGGTCCACAGTAGGATGGCTAAAGTAATGAGGGATGGGGGATAATATAACCAGGACAGACTACCTGAAAAATTACTGGGATTTTCAATCTATCTGGATTTAATCCTGGTCCCCTAGAGTGGTATGCTGGCATCTTAATGTTTCAGCCATCCAACCATGACAAAAAATAAATAAAAATAAATAGATGCTGAATTACTGAAAAAAGAAATGGAAAAGCATTGCTAATGTGGTTAATTTGGTTTATTTTGTAATCAAAATAATAATAAATTAAGCTGTCTTTAATTGAAACAGATTTGCCTCATTGAATTTAATCATATAACTAACTTAAACAATTTTATTGCTATAATTTTGATGTTTTCTTTTAATTAATGTACTTTTAATTACTAGGTTTTTGGTTTTTTATAAAATAAAATTATATAAAATTCAACTAGAGATTTAAATTAATAGTTTATAAAAATAAAATTCTATTAATTAGATTTTACTCTTGAGTATCTAAGACATTTTAGTTTTATATTATCACAATTGTTAACACATTATTGTGCAGTAAATATTAGGTAACTAGTTAGAGAGAGAATTATAAAATCTATTTGAAATTTCAAGTTCCTTATCTAATTAATTCAGTAATGTTTATAATTGTTTAAGTGATTAGATATTCAAAATGAATATCTAATCACTTATTATAAAATTAATTGAAATTTTCCAGATATATAGTTCAATTTTGGTAGACAATATATTATTTGACTACATATACTGACTGTATATAGTAAACTAAGTGTGAATTATAAATTAATTAAATGATAATGTCTGATTGATCAAACCTTAATTTGGTTAATTAAATAAACAGATATAAAGTAATTTGGACTAAAGGTAGGCAATTAAGTTGCCATCCTGTATTAAATTCAATAATTAGAATTAATTAATTCTAATTTAATACAGGATGGCAACTTAATTGTGTACTTTCCAAATTACTTTTTTTTCTGTATATTTAATATTATTTGACTATGTACATATTTAAAAAATAAGTAAATAATACTATTTTTTATTGTAGTCTTTTATTTGAGAATTAGTATTCGTTATCAGTATCAACATATTTTTATATTGTATATTTGAATGTTACTTTTCTGTTAATTCAGATCTCAACTTTGTTGATTGGCTCACTATGGGCCAAGAAGGCATTGCACCAATAAAATCCAAACATTCCATCCATCCAGATTACACAGAAAGAAAAATAAAACTGTAAAGTTGACACTTGTGTTTGAAAATCTACTTTAAAATTGCATTGTTAAATATCTGAGTTTATTGAATCTAAAACTTCTATTATAATCAAAAATTAGATTTATATTGATAGATAGTTTAATGTCATTTCTGAAAGGCATTGATTTATATTCAAATAAGGAATATTTACATTATATAGCTGTGAGTAAAGGATACTTAGATTAGATTTGAGTATACAAACTTATGCTAATAAACATAAAGTTTGTATGCCCAAATCGAATCTAAGTATACAGGGTGATTCAGAACTCATGGAACAAACTTTAATGGGTAGTAGAGCACACAACAAAAAACTTGTATAGGAAAGTATAGGCATAAGTGATGCGTTGAGACACACACAAGAAATAACATATGAAAAGAAACATAAAAACAGCATCATTGATAAGTTCATCTTTACAACAATGTTTACAATACTTGCTCAAAATTTATTGAGTCTCAATTATTTTTTATGTGGACATTTGAAGGACCTTGTTGCTTGAATATCCATTGCAACTACACATATGTGAGAAATACCTGCCATCTTGAAAACTGTATACCAGTCATTTCATCAATGCTGCCAAGTGTGTATTACTGCTGGTGGATGCAATTTTGAGCAATTATTGTAAACATTGCTGTAAGGACACACTTGTCAACAATGCTGTAAGTAAACAATTTGTTTCCTTTCATGTGTTATTTCTTGTGTTTGTGCTACAATGTGTCACTTGCATCCATACTTTCTTATACAGAAAATGTTTTTTTGTTGTGTGCTCTACTTCCTCTTAAAGTTTGTCCCATGAATTCTGAATCACCATGTATAATTTACTATAAGTAATGTATAATGTATAATTTACTATAAGATGGGAAATAATATAATATGGATTATATTATTTCCCATCTTTCAGCTACACTGATCAGTTTCATTTAGAATTACACCTGTTTATAATACATAAAATGTTTGAATTTCATATAATTTTGATGTATTAGTATTTTGCATTATACAGATTAATCAATAGAATATATGAAGCTATAAATGATTTTGACTTATGAACCTGCTAAAAATTCTTGAAAATTTTCTTTACTTGTTCAGTACAAATCAAAACCTGCTCTTATAATCTAATTTGTTTTTTAAAAGTTGTTAAACAATATGTCATCAGACTATGGCTTCCTGTAATTTTAACTATTTAATATCATAATGAAATAGTCAACAGGAGGAAAAGATTCTTAAATATAACATTACATAAATTATAACAGAGAATTTGTATCATCTGTAGAAATAGTGATCATAAAGCTAGGTCTGCTACATTGTTTACTAAGCTTTTTGAAAGTTAATGTAACTTAGTATTAAATGACAATTATTTAATGTTCTTATGTTTATAATAGAATTTACTTTGGTTAATTTCAAATATTAATAACTCAATTTTGAAATATGTTTTAATTAAGAATTTTCTTTGAAATTTGTATGTAGATGAAGAGACGTTACATTGTTGGCAGTATAGTTGATAGTGAAAATTCTTATGTTAATTCATTACAGAGACTTATTAAAGTAAGCAATTTATTAAAAACTATTTGTTTTATATGTTTTAATTTAAAATAAATACTTTTTTGGAGTTTAAATAAAAGAAATTTTTTTTGTAGGATTACAAACGACCATTAGAAGACAGTAATCCACCAATAGTGAGTGCAAACAAAATAGGAATTATGTTTCATAGGGTTGAACAAATTTTACAATGTCACACAATATTTGGTATTGCTCTTACTCAATGTGTTAGGCAATGGGATGAAGAAGAGAAAATAGGCGATGTATTTGTTGCTTCTGTAAGTACAAATTTAAAATATCCTATTTAAAAAATTTTTTCATTAAAATTTTAATAATAATAAAACTTTAAGAAATTTAACAATAATAAACAAAATTTGCATTATTTTGCTATTTTCATTTACCACAGTTATTTTAAGAACATTAACTGAGTATTTTAATTAGTATTTATAAAATCTATATATATAAAATTGCTTGTCCTGACTGACTCACTGACTGATTCATCATCGCCCAGAGCAAACCACTGGACCTAAAGAGCAGAAATTTGGTACACAGTTAGGGTTCGTCATGAAAACGCACACTAAGAAGGGATTTTTCGAAATTCCCAAGTGGGGGAGAGACAGTGCATTAAGGCTTATCCGGAAGAACGGCTTCTATTGTACTATTTTACATGCGATTTTTTGTTTTCAACTACGTTTAGTCTTAGGTATATTAAATTGATAACATTTCAGACATTGTTATAAATATTTTTATCCATTTCGATTTTAAAAATGTTCGAACCGTTTTAAATTCGAATTTGTTATTTCGTATTCGTATTGTATGCGTTTTAGTAGGGTATGCCATGAGAATGGACACTAAGAAGGGATTTTTCTAAATTCTCCCGCGGGGGGAGAGGGAGAGGATTAAGCTTAACCGGAAGAATGGCTTCTACTGTACTATTTTAGATGCGATTTTTTGTTTTCA